AAAAAAACCCATCAGGAATGATAGAATGCAATGTAAATGTATGCAAATGAAAGATTGTATAAAATATAATACACATGAAAGAAACACAATGTAAATGAATTACTGTATGCCAACCAATAAAAATATCAGAAAGAAAAAAGTATCACATAAAACAACAACAACAACAAAAACAAAAAACATTCCCATTCACTTTGCAAAAGATTCTTAGAACCTCCTGAGAAGTAAGTGGTCTCTTTTTCTCATACAATGAGAAAAATAGCTTACTGATCCCAACCTTGTGGTTCTTTAAGTTGGTTCTGCCCACTAATCTATATGTGTTGGTACTTGTGGGGGCTTTGGTGGCCTCATGGTAAGAAACTGCACCGCAGTCCCAAAGGTGGTTTGAATCCACCAGTTGCTCCTAGAGAGAAAAATAGACAATCTTCTCCCGTGTGATTTACAGCCTCTGAACCCCCACTGAAGGGTCAGCTACGGGTCAGTTCCAATTCCATGACAAATAACAGAACTGCTAATAAAACAAAGGCGATACAACAAATTGACTAAAGCAGAACATTCTAGAATTTCTGATAGAAATCTGATAGTTTACTGATAGAACCCTAAAGATCTTGTAGACTGATGTCATACTCCACAAAAAAAATTTAAAAAAAGGGAAAAGGTCTAGATCTGGAAGATCGTGTACTTAAGTTCTCTGAGGAGTTCCAAATCCAACTGTGTTCCTCTCTCCCAGCCCCGCTCTGCAAGAGAACGAAAACGCCCCTGAGTCAGAGTCACACGGTCCCTCACCTGTGTTTTTTCCGCTCCTTCCAAGTTCCTTCCTTCTTTGGAACTTCCTTTTCCTTCTTCGAAGGTGTTCTCTGCCCCTTGAAGGAAGCCTTCCCTTCCCTTTTCTTCTCCCCATACCCAGTTCTTTCTGTTGGACTCTGGGTCTGTCTGCCCAAATCCTCTCTGTGTCTCTTGTGTTCTGTCTGCTTCCTCCTGGGAGACCCAGGTCTTGGGCTACTCCCGGCCTGCCCCCTCTGTCCAGGCTGGGATCTGCGCCTGCCGGATGCACTCTCGGCCTTGGGAGTCTGCTTCTTTGAGGGTAGCCTTCCAGATCCGTCACCTGCAAGGAAAGTAGGTGGACAGTTGAGACCTCTTCCACCTTGGCCTCAGGGTAGTGCCTCAGCCGGGGCAAATCATAAGTTGTGGCTTCTGGAATTCTTCATTCAGGAATAATAAAGAATGTCTTCCTCCCCTGGCTTTTCAACTTGAACTGAGATTTACCAGGAGGTATGTGCCTTTCACACTAGCCTGAATTTTCAGTTCCGCTGGGTCAGAGCTGAATCATCTGTTATAGATTGAATTGTATCCCCCAAAATGAGTGTTCAAGAAGTCTGGTTGTGCAATAGTTGAGTGTTGAGGTTGCCAGCTACAAGGCTAGCAGTTCAAACTTGCCCATCATCTCTACAGGAGAAGGACCTGGCATATCTGCTCCCATATAGATTTCAGCCTCAGAAGCACTGTCTGCTCTGTCACATGGGATCGGTATGAGTGAAAAAACAGACTCATTGACACATAGCAACAAAATACACTGAAATTAGTGAGAACTGGAACTCCAGTAGCTGCCTTATTTTTCAAGTGTTGGAATATTTATGGAACTCCAGGGGAGTGTTGGGCTGCTAACCTAAAGGTGAGCAGTTTGAATCCACAAGCTGCTTCGTGGGAGAAAGATAAGCAGTTTCCTCCCATTAAGATTCACAGTCTCAATGTACACTCATGTATATTGCTGTGTTATTCATGATAACAAAGTGCCTATCAAACAAATGGATAGAAAAACTATGATAAATATAAAAACTATGATAAATTATGATAAAAAAGAAAAGAAAAAGCTAAGGCATTTTCACACAATGGAATAACATGCAGATTGAAAAACAACAGTCTCATAAATCATTATGCAATGTAGATGAGCCTGGAAGACATTATGCTGGGTGAAATATCTCAGTCACAAAAGGACAAATAATGTATAACACCACTGTTATAAAATAGGACTGATATGGGGGGTTGAGGAGAGAATAGGAAAAGAATGGATAGATAATGAATCCTGCACTAGAGCAGAGGAGAGGAAGAACTGTCTAAAAGAAATATATGATTAGGTATTATATGTATGACAGCAATCTGGAACAAAGGGTGCATTGTGGGGTAGGATGGGTGATGAGGAGAGAAATATGCAACAATGAAAAAAAAGTTATTACAGCTACAAAAATTTGATGGAAGGTACCATTAGTCAGGCAATGAATTGACCCTGAGACTTGACAGCAGTGGATTCTACCTAAGACTGTAATCCTGCCTAGAACAAGGTCTTCTTTGGTATACTAACATGACCCTCTCATTATGAAGTTGGACCCTAAACTTAATCACTTCTGAGTTATATGGAACAAGGCAGACACAGACTAGTAAGCACAAAAATGGAAAGACAGATGGTTTCTGATGGAGGCAGATGACTCTATAAGCCCAGGAGTTTCAAGGAGTTAGGAGATGCTGAAAACAAACATCTTTGTCAGAATCAACGGGGTTTTCCCGAAGACCTGGTTGCATTCAGATCTCTAACCTCTTGACTTGTGAGGGAGTGAAATCAAGTTTCTCTTTGGAGGCTAGGATTTTGAAGCTCTGCCTCACTTACTTTGGGCACATAGTCAGGAGAGATGGTCCTTTGAGAAGGACATCATGCTCAGAAGGGTGGACAGACAGCGCAAGAGAGGAAAACCCCCGAGGAGATGGATTGGTACAGTAACTGGAGCAATGGGGGTTAGTGTGTCAGAATTAGTGAGACTGGCTCAGGACAGGGAAGGGTTCAGAGCTGCTGTACATAGAGTTTCTATACATCGCAGGCGACTAAATGGCACATAACATACTATGACAGATTTGGAAGCAAGAGTGGCATCCACTTCCTAAATAGCATGCCTCTGGAAACTCTATGAACTTTGTTTGATAAATGTCAATAGTTGTAGAGGGGCTTTAGGCCTGTTGTTTGTAGGGTTGCTATGACTCAAAGACAATCAACACCCTAAGCGATTTGGTTGGGGTTTTGTTTTGTTTTGTTTTGGTTGGGTTTTTTAAATTTTTTTTTTTTTAGCAGTATACATAAGCAAATGCACTAGCTGCTCAAAGGGAGAGGGGTGGACAATCTCCTCCCTTGTGATGAATTGTCTCTGAAAATCCACTGGAGGATCAGCTACGGCTTGGTTTCAACTCCATGGTACACAACAATAACAACAACAAAAAAGGCAAATAATTCTGACGGCCTAGTGGCTAAGGAACAACATTGCTAAAGGCAGGCAATTCAAATCCAGTTGCTCCTCGGAAGAAAAATAGACAATCTCTTTTCATGTAGTTCACAGTCTCTGAAAGCCCAGTAGAGGGTCAGCTATGAGTTGGTTAGAGGTTTGAGCCCACCCAGAAAGACCTTAGTATAAATTCCTGGTGATCTGCTTCCAAAACATTCACCCTTAAGGGTGCTCTGGTGGCCTAGTGGCAAGAAGCAATACTGCAACCCCTAAGCATTGTTGTTATGTGCCCTGGAGTTGTTTGCGACTCATAGCGACCCTATGTACAACAGCCCTAA